CCGTTGACCCCCAAACACGATCCCGACTTAATTACTTGAACTTTTACTCAAACTTTAAAGCTCCAAATCACTTGAATTTATTCCATAACATCTATATAGCTCGGAATCACTCGTACAAGGCATAAAACATACAATTAGTGCAAAACACTAGCGATTAAAGCTCAAACTCAATTAAAGTGCAGTAAGTTAGAGTGTAATAATCGACTAAAATACGTAATTATAGCCTATCATCATCAGACTCGAGAGAGACAGAGAAATCAACTTTTGATTTCTTTGGGGTGGATGGAATGGGAGGATCTTCCATGGGTCGTTTGCCTAAGGCTTTTTCTCCTAGAAGTTGGGAGTGTTTAGAGAAATCACCCTGAGATGAGGCGAAGCCTTCAGAGTGATCAGACCCTAGGTCTACTTGCTCAGGAGGCGCAGGAGGGGATTTTGCCTTAGAGCGGGTACTTTTTCTGGTAGAGGCTGAGGGATTCTTGGAGTGTTTCGCCATTGTAGAAGAGGGGATTTGCTCAAGGTTTTGGAGAGAAGATGGAGATGAGAGTGACTGAAAGGGTTTTCTAACTTAAGAAGAGGGTTTTGACGGTTGAGTACAGAGAAGGAAAAGTTGTCAGTTGAGAATACGTGATGATTGGCTTTCCATCTTCAGACTGCGAACTAATGTGAACGAAGTGAAAAGAGAGGGTAAAAATCGGAGGCGTAATTAATGCGTGGAAAAAGGACAATTATAGCACTTAAAAGTAATTGAGCACATAGGCCCTAAGAGTTATTAGAACAGCAAATAATACCAAGTAATTTTCTCAAAGTACAAAATCTTTCTTCTAACAAAGGCTTAGTAAAAATATCGGCTAATTGAGCAGAGGTGCCAACAAAGGCTATTTCTATATCTCTCTTAAGAACATGATCTCTAATAAAATGATGCTTAATATCTATATGCTTTGCTCTAGAAAGATGCACAGGATTTTTTGAAAGGCAAATAGCACTAGAATTATCACAAAATATTTGTATAGGTTAAAACGAAAGCTCATAGTCACCCAATTGATGAGATATCCATAGTAGTTGTGCACAACACTGTCCAATAGCAATGTATTCAGCTTCAGTAGTGGACAAAGCGACTGATGCTTGCTTTTTACTGTTCCAGGATATTAATGCCTTTCCTAGTAACTGACAAGTGCCGATTGTGCTCTTTCTATCTTCTTTGTCACCTGCAAGATCAGCATCTGAAAAACCTTCTAATTTAAAAGAGTTAGAGCGAGGATACCACAATCCATGAGATACAGTTCCAATGAGATATCGAATGATTCTCTTTACAGTAGTCAAATGTGACTCCTTGGGAGCTGACTGAAACCTGGCACATTTGCATACGCTGAACATAATATCTGGTCGACTTGCTGTCAGATATAGCAGTTATCCAATCATTCCCCTGTATTTGGTTTCATCAACTGGGGTGCCCTGTTCATCTTTATCTAGATTTGTAGCGGGGCTCATAGGAGTGCCAATTGATTTTGCATTGTTCATACCAAATTTTTGAATCAACTCTTTTGTATATTTGGTCTGACAAATAAAAGTTCCTTCTTCGGTTTGTTGGATTTGTAGCCCAATGAAGAATGTGAGTTCACCCATCATGCTCATTTCAATCTCGCTTTGCATAAGATTTAAAAATTCCTTGCACATAAGAGGGTTAGCACTACCAAATATAATATCATCAACATAAATTTGAATAATGAGATTACCTTCTGGTGATCGTTTAATAAACAGAGTAGTGTCTATTTTACCTCTGGTAAAGCTATGATCAATAAGAAAGTACTCAGCCTATCATACCGGGCACGTGGAGCTTGTTTCAACCCATACAGTGCTTTGGTAAGCTTGTATACATGGTATGAAAATTTTGAATCCTCAAAGCCTGGAGGCTGTTTTACAAAAACTTCTTCCTCGATAAATCCATTCAAAAAGGCGCTTTTAACATCCATTTGAAACAGCCTGAATCCTTTAAAGGATGCGTATGCCAAAAGAATTCGTATAGACTCCAAACGAGCTACTGGGGCGAAAGTCTCATCATAGTCGACTCCTTCCTGCTGTGAATAGCCCTGTGCAACTAGTCTTGCTTTATTTCTTATGACCTTTCCATCCTCATTCAATTTGTTTCTAAATAGCCATTTTGTTCCGATCACAGACACATTTTCAGGTTTAGGTATTAGTTTCCACACTTGATTCTTGCTGAACTGATCTAATTCCTCCTGCATAGCTTGCACCCAGCTTGAATCCTTCAGTGCTTCCTCTACCTTTTTTGGCTCAATTTGAGAAATCAATGCAATATTTGATTTCTTCTTGAGGGCAGCCCTGGTTTTCATTCCTTAGTTTGGATCCCCTATAATAAATTTCTGAGGATATTCGGGTTCGCTTCTCCATTCATTTGGTCGAATTTTATTTGTAGTCGACTCGACTTGTGGGTCTGGAGTATTGCTGCTATTTTCTCCAGTTGACTCGATCACCCCAGATGTGCTAGTCGACTCCTGTGATTTTCCTTTATCCTGAGCTTCTTGAGTTTGACCTTCGTCACCTGCAATAGTTCCTTTCTCGACCAAGGGATTAGTTTCATCGAATATAACATGTACAGATTCTTCTACACATAAAGTACGTTTATTGTAGACTCTAAAAGATCTGCTATTTAACGAGTAACCAAGAAAAATACCTTCGTCACTTCTTGGGTCAAACTTTCCAAGATTGTCTTTACCGTTATAGTGAATAAAACATTTGCTTCCAAAGGGATGGAAGTAACTGATATATGGACGTTTACCTTTCTAGAGTTCATAAATGGTCTTCTTCAGAATTGGCCTTATGAGGCAACGGTTGAGGATGTGACAAGCAGTACTTATGCCTTCTGCCCAGAAATGGTTTGGCAATGAATGTTCTAGTAGCATGGTTCTTGCCATGTCTTGGAGAGTTCTGTTCTTCCTTTCCACAACCCCATTTTGCTGTGGTGAGCGTGGTGCAGAGAAATTGTGAGTGTATCCTTGATCGTTGCAGAAGTCTTCAAAAGCTCTGCTTTCAAATTCTTCTCCATGGTCACTCTGAATATTTGAGATCAGATGTCCCTTTTCTCTTTCAACCTTTTTGCAGAAAACTTCAAAATTTCTTAAGGCTTCATCCTTATGAGACAAGAAGATTACCCAGGTGAAACGTGAAAAGTCATCAACAATAACAAAAGCATACCTCTTACCTCCTATGCTAGCAGTTCTAGTAGGCCCAAATAAATCCATATGAAGTAATTGCAAAGGTTTTGAAGTAGATACTATATCTTTATTTTTGAAAGAATTTCTGGTTTGCTTACCCATTTGACATGCATCACAAATATGAGTTCTAGAGAAATTCAGTTCAGGCAAACCAATAACTAAATCATGTTCGGATAGTTTTTCAATCAAATGCATGCTAGCATGGCCAATTCTTCTATGCCATAACCATGGATCATCAGACATAGAGGATAAGCAAATGCGGCCATCTATCTTTTCAAAGCTATCAAGTATATAAACATTTCCATACCTTTTTCCAGGAAGAATTATCTTACCTGATTCGTCTTCAATAGCACACCCTGTTCTCTTAAACTTTACCTCATATCCTGAGTCGCAGAGTTAACTTATGCTCAAGAGATTGTAGTTTAGGCCATCAACGAGATATACTTCAGTAATGTCACAGTTGTTATTGAAAGGAATTGTTCCAGTGCCAACTATTTTGCCCCTTGAATCGTCTCCGAATTTTACACTTCCTCCATCGATCTTTGTAACTTCCTTGAACAGGTTTTTGTCACCTGTCATATGACTGGAACACGCACTATCTAGATACCATTTTCCTTTGCGGCTTACTCTGTGGTGTTCCTGCAAGACAAGATGATCACTTTCTTTTAGGTACCCAAGCTTGCCTGGGTCCTGGTGGGTTAGTGTTACTAGGTTCAGAATTTTTTTGTTTCCAAACCCATCCTGACACATTTAATTTACGAAAGTGACAACCAGAATATTTATGCCCACTTTTATTACAGTAATGACATTTAGCTCCAAACCTGTTTATAGGTCTTTCATAGGTGTTAGAACTACCCGACTTAGATTTAGCTGGTTCTGTCCCAGTTGACTTGTAAGTCATCTGGTCCGACCGACTGGTCGACTTGGTTCTGATTGGTTCTTTTCCAGTTGACTTGTAAGTCGTCTGGTTTGACCTAACAGAACTATGACTGGTGGAATTGTGCAAGCTGTTAAGCTGCAGTTGCAACTCCTCAAACTCTTCTTGAAGTACCTCTTTTTCGATTTCACATACTTCATGTTTGAGTTTCCAGTCTTTAACCTCCCTAGTGAGTCTCTTAAGTTCATTCATCATTTTTTGAGACTCTTTTAAGGTTGAATCAAGAATATCCTGCAATTCATTACATCTTTCGTAGTCATAAGATCTTACCTCACTAGTTTCCCCCCGTGCCATGAAACGGTTCTCGTCATCTGAATCATCTTCATCTGTCCAGCATCCTGAGATTTTGTTTATTTCATTTTCCAGAATTGTCATGAAACAAAGATTTGCTATTACTTCATGGTCTGAGTTATCCTCATCGCTCCAGCTTCCGAAGGATTTGTTCTTGTTGAAGCCTCTAGAGATCTTCCTTTTTAGTTCTGGGCATTCAGCTTGAATGTGCCCAAATTTTCCACATTCGTAGCATTTTCCATCGTTCTTATCCTGTTCATTGTATTGCCTGGATCGTCTTGGTGGGAATCTTCCTTTCTTTGTATTTCTGTATCTCCTCATCAATCCATCCATATTTCTAGACATCATAGCAATCTCTTCTTGTAGAGCTTCAGGATCATCAATTTCATTTTCAGCCATTTCAGTAGAGGTTTTGAATGCAACTATTTTATTTTTCTCCTTTTGATTTGTCTTTTTCAAATGCGTCCTTTCGAAAGCAATGAGTTCTCCTCGCAGTTCATCATAGGACAATTTGTTTAGGTCTTGAGATTCTAGAGTGACTACTTTGGTCTGCCAAGTGCTTGGCAGACTTCTGGAAATTTTTCTGACTTGATCACCGTGTAGGGCTTGCCAAATGCCTTTAAGTCACTAATTATCTTACTAAACCTGGCAAACATTTCTTCAATGGATTCTCCTTCTTTCATTGAGAAGAGTTCGTAGTCATGAACTAGCATGTTGATGTGAGTTTCCTTTACTTTGCTGGTTCCCTCATAGGTGACCTCAAGTTTATGCCACATCTCTTTGGCTGTATCACAACTCGATATTTTCTCGTATTCCTCACCACTTATAGTATTGCGAAGCAGATTTCTTGCCTTGTTATTCACTTGTACCGCTTCCAGTTGCTCCTTTGAGTATGAATCTATATCATCAGGATCAGCAAGTGGTGGAGTGCTAGCAGGTAGGGGATAGTTTCCCTTTTTAATGACTCTCCAGACTTTGACATCATATGCTTTAGCAAAGATTTCCATTCATACTTTCCAGTGAGAGAAATATTGTCCATTGAAGTATGGTGGTCTAACTTGTGAAGTTCCTTCCTGAAAGAGAGCTCCTATGATAACTTGATTTGCCATGATCTTTTCTCACAAGCTGTTAAGCAAAAGGTAAAATGTGAGCCTTGCTCTGATACCAATTGAAAGTACAAGGAGGAGGGGGGTGAATTGTAAATACTTCGAATTAATTATTTATAAGTTGACTTATAACTAGAGTAGTCGGCTGAATATGATAATTTAGCAGATATGGTAACGAAAAGTAAAATGCAGAAAATAATTGCAGGAATTAAAAATACCGGAATCTTTATACTGGTTCGGATTCAATGTGAATCCTAATCCAGCCCCCTTGGGTTGCAAGGGAGTTCTCTTCAGTAAATGAGTTTCTTCCGAGTACAGATGTGGTGTATATCGTTCAGTTTCTCTAGCACTTGTTTTTGATACAATGCCTCACCAGTTGTGTGCTCTCTTTCTATCCCTGACTTGTTACACAGCAGATCTTAGTGAACTACAATGCTTGTTTGCAGTAGAATAAAGAGAGTGATTTGGTTTGATCAAATTATGTCTGAGCTAGGGTTTACAAGGGAGTATAAATACTTTGATGGATGGTAAATGCTTGACAACCCAAGAGATTTGATCCTTGGAAAGAATTCTTTCCAAGAATAAGGAATGAGTCGTTGCTTCTCTTGATTACTTTCCTTCTGCAGAGGATTGCTTCACTTGATTTCTCCTTGATTGTTGGATCTTCCAAATGTGGTCGCTTCCCAGATCTCCTCGTATCCTTTTGTCTTCCGTGATTCTGCCCATGATTCGTGCCTTTGTCCAAGGCTTATTTGATTTTCTCCAGCTCAGCTAATCATTGTTATTGCTGATTGATTCGTTGATTAGATTGCGCCCAGATTTACGAGACCAATCCAGATTTGCTGATCACATGCTGATTTCTTTTCTTTCTTTGTACATCATAAACCATTCCAGCAGTCTTCTTTACTTCTTGAACTTGATTTCCTGCACATGTATATTATTTGCATCATTAAAACATGATCTAACAATTCCATCATCCACGTCCATCTGTGACTAAGATTTGTGTTCATTTGCATTCCTTCAGTTTGGGGAATTTATTTACGGAGTACTATTACTTTCCTTATTTTTGCTTTTTGCCTTCTTTTGTTCTTAAATCAAGGATTTTTTTTAAAGGCAATTATGTTCTAACTTATAGGTATATCTAATATATATTAAATAATAAAATCGTGTATAAAATTATGTTTACCTTCATAAATATTATTGCAAAATAGATATAATAATGAAAAAGGTAATTTCACCTAAAACTAATTATTTAGTAAAGTTTAGTATGTTTAGATGATAAAAACTAGAGAAAATATTTTTGAATTTTATTTTAGGAAAAATATTTCTGATGTGAAAGAAGAAATTTAGCATGAGATAACACTGTTATAACTTGTTACTTTTTATTTTCACAAGATTACGTTTGATTTGAATTTTTGGCTTCATAAGCTTTATGAAATACATCTTAATTAAAATTATAAACTTGTATCTTAAAATATCTGTTGTAAGAAAAGTGGAAATTATTTAGTAGTTGCCAAAACTTACTTTTTGGTTATTTTTAATGTTGAAGAATAAGAAAAAAAATTGTAACTCCAACCGCGCGAAGCGCGGTCCATTTTACTAATTTTTTATAAAATACCGAAGTTTTTGGTTTCGGTACATAATTCCATATTTACCGCCGAATCCCAAATCATTGGAGAAGTCCCAACTCCTAAGGCTCATATCAGTCGCCGGCGACGCCGCTGTTCAATCATTTAACACCGTCCGGGCTCCGGCGACTTGTCCGGTAGGTCCCTTTTCGCTCTCTCTCTCTCTCTCTCTCTCTCTCTCTCTCTCTCTCTCTCTCTCTCTCTCTTTTTCTCTTCAGTTTCCCTACACCTTTACTTCCATTACTTCCCCCCCTTTCTTTTTAAAAATTGATAATTGAAACGCAATTTTGGTTTCTATCAGTGTCTTTCATTAAATGAAATGCCGCGGAAGAATATTTATAAATCTGTAAAATATTTTATTCTTGTGAATGCTTGCAGATGAGAGTGAAAAAACAGAAGCGGCATAGGAGAGCCGTTAGGTTTTACACGTCTTGTTTTGGGTTTTGAGAGCCATTTAATAACCTTTGTGATGGAACATTTGTGCATCATCTTGTTGTGAATCGCATTACCCCTGCTGATATTGCATTGGCAAATATTCTAGGCGCCACAGTTAAACTTTTTACTACCAGGTTAATTTTGAGCAGCTCCATTTGTCTCTGACTTAACTTTGTTTGCTAAGCTAAAGATGTTTTTCTTTAATTAAATCTGTTTATGTGTAAAAATTCACTAAAATTTTGAAACAAATATTCTATATGCACCCATAGCTTTAAAAACATAATGGATTCAAGGCTAAGCGCCTTAAAAGTTGAACCCATAGAATTTAAATCCTGAATCCACCTCTGCTTACAGATTTGTTCTTTCAGAGTTGAAGAGCCTCGGTGGTTGCTATCGTGAATCACTGAATGTAGCTAATAACCTTATTACTGCACGGTTAGCCATTTTGTCTCTTCTTCTTGAGTAGCAACCAGTATGCGTGTTGCTTAAGTTCTCAGGACATTCTTTTGAGTTATGCAACTTAATCTGAATCTGACTCTATCGCAGATGTGACCATGAGAAGAGGAAATGTACCGTAGCTTGCATAACTTAAGTTATTGGAGAGAACAATTCTGAACACTTTTTTGTTGCTACTCAAGATGCTGATTTGCTGAGAAGTCTTCAAAAGGTATTTGAACTCACTTTTCCTCGGAGATGGTATTGATAATGTCTCATATTGTGATATCAGACATTGCAGTTATTGCAAAACTGGAATAGGATGTCTTCTCAGAAAGATCTTCCACAGATACTTGTTTAGTCCATTCCAAAAATGCTAAATTTGCAATCTCTAACTTGTCAGTAGTCACAAGATATTTAACAATCTAAGTGGGAAGTGTAAGAAACAAGTGAATCTTTGTGCATCTGCAAGATTATATCATGGTCTACCAGTTGATCTTGTCTCTCCTACCATGTAGGACTACGATGGTAAAAACTTGTAAAATATTTTGGTCTTGCGAGGAGTAACCTTAGCAATTCTAAATTCTTTGGTAATCTGAATGGTACCTTATATACAAGTGAGAGTGTGACCAAAATCTATCTTGTAGGTTTACCTCTTCAATTAAAAAGAAAGGAAAAGATCTCCACCATTTAGAACATTGTATTATGTACATACCAACTAGCTTTTCTCCTCTTTCTTTTTTTTCTTTTTCTTTTCTTTTCTGACCTTTGTTTCCCCTTTCTCCTGAACTGGGTTAGATAGGTGGTGTGCCTGTAATTTATGCTCTTAGGAATGCATTATTTCTTGAACAACCATCTTCATTTCAACGCCAGTTTGCCAAATCTGCTGAAGAAGAATGCCTTCATATGACTGACCTGGAGTACCATATGCTCAGATTTAGGAAAAGAGGAGACTGTCTGATGATGAACAAGGGGATTCTTTGGATGCACCAGAGGAAGAGGTAGACAATTTTTCACCGGTTCAGAATATCAAGACAAATGCTAAAAGGATTGGAACTGATGTCAAGGATAAATTTGCTTCAAGAGAAAGAAAGCTAAGGTTGGGGTTCATAATACTGTTGTATTTTACCTAGCGCTTAAAATTTAACTTGTTTCTTCTCTTGCTCGGTTGAAATATTGTTGTCCCTGAAGGTCTGTATGGTTTATGCTTTGCCTTTTACAGGGTCCAAACCCACTTTCGGTCAAGAAGAAAAAGAAAATCTGTGGATACAAATGTTACTACATCCGGAAAGGTGAGATTCAAGTGTCTAAAGTTACAAAACCAAACTGGGGTAACGTATTCATTTAGAGATGAAGGGTATTCAATTTTTTTCTGCCTGTCTGACCACCCATTTGTTAAATAGAGAAAAAAGAATGTCTACGTGTAACACCTCATAAATTGTCAGTGGTTCTTGTATTCTACACTTATTCAAAAGTCAAAACTATAGTGGCATCTATAATATCCGTGGGGAGATGGTATGCACTATCCAAATTTTTTGACTTGATTAGTTCCGATCGATTATTTATTAGTTCCATCTCTTTAGCGAAAACGTAGAATGAGTCTTCCATTCTTCCTCTAAAGATTCAGGGAACATGTAAAATTGCTTGGTGTAGTAGATTTTTACTAAAGTATAAAATGAGGTTGTGTTGACGATATGACGGATAACTTTCCTCAAATTATTAAGATGCTTCTTTGCAGTAACTTGCTATTGCATATTAACTTGGTTTTTACCTCCATGCATAGTATTCCTCTTAGGTGTGAATTGATGGTTGAAGGTAATAGTGGACGAGGTAGACCTAAAATGACGTGAAAAGAAATTATCCCGAGAGACCTAGAACCAGTGTTTTAATAGTGCAGGTGAAGTCTGGGCATTATATATCTCTTTGGGGCGGGTGTAAACTCCACAAGTAGTTTTAAATATTTTTAACAACATCTAATAATAGATTAAGACATGAAAAGATATAGAAAATATAGTCGAAATTGTATAAAAATCAAAAGAAAAAGCTGCAAAGTTTGATTAACTATCTACACATAGTGATTTTTGTATATGATAATATTCTAAGTCAACAAATTCTTTATTATAGAGATACTGAGAAAGCCTATATGGAACATAGGGTACAATCCGAGACGTAAAGTATGTAGGCATTCTTGGGGTTTATAAGCAAATAATCCAAGATGTAATGCGTCTGTGGAATACACGCCCCACCTTGCCAAATGCTAGCCTATACCTTGGTTGGTAGAGTTATCTGATATCTGTGCTGCTGGGAGTAGTAGATACTTGGTGGAATAGTCAAGGTATGTGCAAGCTGGCCCGAACACCACCGTCATTAAAAGAAGGACTAGACCTTCGGCCCCTAAGGTTG